TTTTTTTTTTTAATGGATCATAGTTGGAAAGGGTTTGTGGAAACAATTCTACTTGACGTGAATGGAATGTGGAATGATATATGTATTCAATCCCAACTGGTAAAAAAGAGATGAACAGAGGTGGTGGTTGTACCACATTAGGAATATTTCAGGCCCACTGAGCTTACTTACAAGTCTGATAACGGTGGTCTGCCTATCACCCCCTCTCAGGGGGACGGACAATAGAAAAGCAGGTGAAGGGAGACATGAAAAAATAATAATTGATCAATTATCATGGGTCGATGAGGGGGGAAAATGAGAAGCTGATACCAAGGACTCAAATAGATAAAAAATGTTTTGAAAATGATGATGGCAACAAATGTACAAATGTGCTTGATACAATGGATGGATGGATGGATTGTGATAAGAGTTGTACGCGCCCCAATAAAATGATTACTCATGCAGTTTCCACGTTTCCATTATGTCCCATCTATTACCCCCAAACAAAACATTTAAACTCCCCTTTGCAAGTGTTCTTGGATCAAGAGTTCCAATAGAGAAGAATCCTGTGGTAGGGCCTTTCTAAGCTCCAACCTCTCTTTAGACTTAGGACCTTCCTCCGTTCTTTGGACAGTCATTCCCTGAGCTCCTACTTGTGCACCAGGCTCTGTTCTAGTGCCTGTGGACTCCACGGTGAATGAGGAGGGAGGGCAAAGGCTTCTTCCCTGGAGAGGCACAGCTTTGTGCCGGAGTCCGGATGCCGTCGCTTGTATCCACAGGTGAGCTGCAGGTGACCGCAACCTTCAGGAAGGCCCTGTGATCCCTCCAGAACGTGGCAAGACCGGCAGCCTTAGGAGGAGCTGCTCATCCATCTGATCACCACTGATCTATCTCCAGGGGGGCTGCTCCAGGGGGTTCTCTGGGCTGCCTGATTGAGATGAGTCAGAGTCTGCCACCCTCTCCTTGACCCAGGTCCAGCTGCAGACTCCCCAGAACTTCCCAGGGCAATGTGGAAGTGGCCCCTTGGCACAGGCCGCCTCATTAGTGCCCTGTGGGTTGCCCATCCTGGGGAGCAGACACCAGGGCTCGGCGGTTTGTGGATGTGGTCAACCTCAGCATCTACCCTGAGCTGTGTGGCTCTTTACCAGCTGGTCGGACACGAAGATGGTTTTGGTTGAACTGTGTCTCTCAAATTCATGTTCAAGTCCTACCCCCCAAACCCAACCCCACTGCCGAGGAGTTGATTGCGACTCCTAGGGACGCTAGAGGTCAGAGGAGGCCTGTAAATCTGACCACGGTGAGAGGTTGATTGATGTCATGAGGTTGGCAGATGTCAGGAGCTCATACCTGGTGTCGACAGAAACACAGCTGTTGTCTCATCAACTGACGCAAAGCGGCCCCAGGTGCATGGAAAAGTCAGCACTGCTGGCCTCATGTCATCCTCTCAACTGCCAGCATGCTTGAGCACACGACTGACTGCATGGGCACCGGGTCCACCCCTCTCAGGAAGGGTTGCCTTGGCTCCCCGCTGGCCCTGCTATTCACCAAGCCTTTTGTCCTCCAGCGATTGCGCCCTCAAAGCAAGGCAACCAGACAATGCTCAGTTGTGGTCCGGACGGTTTTCCCTGGGAAAATTTCAGGAGCAGATCACTCGGCTTTTCTCGCTAGTCCTTCTTAGCCTGGAAGTTCTCCCGAAGCCTGACCCCATGGCTGACTGCTGGTATTGGAAATGCTGGTTGCATA